ATGATGAGGATGATCACGATGGCGACGGCCAAAACGACGACGATGACGGCGATGATGACGATGACGGCGATGACTGTGACGCTGATGCCGAGTACACCGATGATGGTGACGACGGGATGGTGACGCCTAGCATCACGGTGGCGATGCTGATGATGATGATGATGATGTTGACTACGATGACGATGATGATGATGATACTGATGATGATTGTGATGGTGATGGTGATGATGGTGATGGTGATGACGATGATGTTGATGATGATGCTGATGAGTATGATGCTGATGATTAACGCTATGATCATGAGCATGACGGTGATGACGATGGTGATAGTGATTGCGATGACGATGCCGAGCCTTATGCTGGAGCTAATGATGCTGGCGATGAGTGGCGATGACGATAGCGATGAGGACAACATTAAGGATACCGATGAGCAGGGTGGCGACGTTGAGGGCGATGGCAACAATGACGATGGTGCTGCTGGTGATGAAGATGGCGGTGACGGCGACGATGAGGATGCTGATGAGGACGATGCTGCTAATTGGGACAACGGCAATAGTAATGGTGGTGCTGAGGTTCGTGATCATGATGGCGACAGTTACGACAATATGTATTGTGACGGTGATCCAAATGACGATGCCAATGACAATGAGAATGATGGTACTGGTGGAGCTGATGATGAGGAATATGGTGTTTAGTCGTTATGTTCCGTTTCACGTATTGCCCCTCCGCTCGGTTTTACCTTTGCTCCGCTTTGGTTTACCATCCGTCCGTGTCGTTTTACCCTCCGTTAACATTTCCCTCCGTTTCGTTTTGCCATCCTTCCCTTCAATGTTTCCATCGTTCCATCATGCTGCACCCCCTCCCGATCAATGTTTTCGAACCCTCTTTTTCCTGTTACCTTCTTTCCGATCCGTTTTGCCCTCCCTCCAATCCGTTATATTTGTTTTCCGTTCAATTGTCACCCTTCCCCGTCCGTTCAATTTTGCCTTCCTTCCATTCCGTTCTAGCTGCCTTCCATTATGCTCTACCCTCTCTCCATTTACACTATTTCCGCTTTCCGTCAATTCCGTATAACCTTCTTTCCGTTTCGTGGTACTCCCCCTCCGTTCCGTTACCGTTGTATGCTTTACCGTTCCGTCTTGCCTTCCTTCGTTTATGTTGTATGTTCTCTCCGTTCCGTTTGACCTTCTCGCCGTTCCGTTTTACCCTCCTCCCGTTTCGGTGACCCTCTCCCCGTGTAGTTTTACGATCTCATTGTATCGTGTTCTAATAATTTCGTTCCGTTCTGCGCTTTCTCGGTTCGCCACGGTTCCGTCTCCTTCCCTCCGTTCGGGTCTGCCCTTCCTCATCTTCCTCATCTTCGTGGGTCTCGTCCTTGTCGTCGTCCTGGTCCTCCTCGTCCTCTACGTGCCCCTTCACCTCCTCTTCCTCCTCCTCCTCCTCCTCTTCCTCCTCCTCCTTCTCCTCCTTGTTCCCGCGATGAGGATGAACAGGAGCAGGAGGAGGCGGAGGAGGACCGAGGAGGAGGACCCAAAGGGAAAAACCCAGAATCCAAAAGGCAAAAACCCAGAAGACCAGAATTTTGGGTTTAGCGCTTGGGAGAGAATAAAAATCCGGAACTCGAGAGTTCCGACATTTCACCTCGGGGATTCTGGGTCTACCCCATTCACCCAGCCTCACTCCTCGCCCTCCTGCTGCACGACCCAGGATGCAAAAACTAGCTCGGGTGATGAACGAGAGCTCCAGGGGGCGGCGGCTTGAGCAAATGTCGATGCGTTGCAGGCTTGCCTTCCTCCCTCTGCGTCCTTCTCCTTTTCCGTCCTCTCGTTCCTCTCATACTCTCTCTTTCTCTCTCTCTCTCTCTCTCTCTCATTATTTCTCTCTCTCTCTATCTATCCTGCCTTCTCACTCCCTCTCCCCCCCATCTTACTCCTTAACGCCGACCTACCCCGCCCCAGTCATTTCTGCCCCATGCCCCAACCACAACCCATCCCTTCCTTCCACAATCATCATCATCATCATCATCATCATCATCATCATCATCAACAACAACAGCAGCAGCATCGCCCTCGTCATCATCGCCGTCATCAGCGTCATCAGTATCATCGTCTCGCCTGTCCTCATCGTCAACAGCAACAGCGCGTTCGAGACTGTTCGCTCTTCCTTGTTCGCGTGTCGTTCAACATGGACACCCCAAGCCTTCGATACCGCGCCTCGTCTTCGATCGTACCGCGTTTGGTTGCGTATCTTCCTGCCTGCCATGTGTGTAGCTGGCGCGGCCCCTAAAGAAGGAGGAGGAGGAGGAAAAAGGAACAGGCGAGGAGAAGGAGGAGGAGGAGGAGGAGGAGGAGGAGGAGGAGAGAGCGAGGAAAGGAAGAGGAAACGAGGAAGGAGGCGGGCAAGCAAAGGGAAGGGGGAGGATTGAGGGCGAAGGAGAGCTAGCGGGAGCGGGAGGAGAGAGAGAAGCAATCGTTTCGGCTGGCTAGCCCTGACGGGCGGGTCGGGCGGGCCGGCCCTGACTGGCGGGTCGGGCGGGCAGACCCTAACAGGCGGGCAGGGCGGGCGGGCCCTTACAGCAGGCGGGAGGGCTTCCAAGCATGCGGACGGGCGGACCCTGCCGGGCAAGTCGGGCGGGCGGATCATAACGGGATGGTCGTGCAGGCGGACCATAACAAGCGGGTCGGGCGGGTGGGCCCTCGCAAGCGGGTAGGGAGAGCGGGACATTGAAGCGAGTTCTGTACATTGCGAAGAAGCCGCAGGCGAGAGCACGAGTCCTGAGTAAAGTGTGAGGTCTCGTGCGAAAGCGCGACTCCTGGGCGTCGAGGGCGCGGCGCCTAAATCACAAGGATGTTCTGAGCGAGCGCGCGATTTCTGAGTAAAGTGTGAGGACGTCCCACGCGAGAGCGCGATTCGAATAACTTGTGAAGACGTATCAGGCGGGAGCCGATCTTGTTGTGGTTGGTGGTGGTGGTAATGTTGTTGGTGTTGTTGTTTAACTCGAGTTCTTGACGAACAAGTACTGTTGATCCCCCACCACCGGTGCACATACTGCGCTTCTCAATTGAAGTGCCCCCTCTCGGGGGTCGAACCTTGTTTTTCACAAGGGCAAATCTTCGCTCAAACTGCGTTGTTGGGACCCGAACTACAATAACAACAACAACCCCTCCCGCCTGATACTTCCTCGCTTTATATTCCAAAATCGCGCTCTCGCGCGGGACTTCCTCACCATGTATGCAGCAATCGCGCTTTCGCGTGGGACTTCCTCGCAATGTATTCAGACGCAGCGCCCTCGACACTCAGGAATCACGCTCTCACTTTGGCCTTTCTCACGATGTACTTGGGAATCGCGCTATGGCTCGAGACTTCCACACATTCCTGCTGGACTCTGCTTCAGCAAACTGCCTTCTCGACCTGGCCGCCTGGGCCCGCCTTCCCGACCCGCCCGCTAGGCTCTGCCCGCCCGGACTGCCCGTCTGGTTCTGCCACGCGCTTTCTGCTCCTAGCTCCTCTCCTGCTAAGTTCTCTTGTGCTCCATCCTTTTACCTGCTCCTTCCATCCGTCCTCTCTGCCCCTGTTTTAGGGGCTGCGCTAAAAGCAAGTTGCAGGTAAGGAAGAGTACCCCCTAGGGGGTGCGATCGAAGACAAAGAGGGCGAGTACCGAGGGTTCGGGATATACTTGGTGAGTGACACGTGAGCAGATAGGAACGAATAGTCTTAACATGATTGTTGTTGCTGTTGGTGGTGGTGGTGTTGTGTTGTTGATGTTGTGTTGCTGTTGCTCTACTGTTGTTGTTGTTGTTGCTGCTGTTGGTGGTGTAGGTGTTGCTGCTGTTTGTTTGTGTGTGTTGCTGCTGTTGTTGTAAGCCTGGGGCCAAGAGCACGATTTGAGCATCAACACTTCCCCTGATAAAAACAAGGTGCGACCCCTCGGAGGGACAATTCAGTAGAAAAGCACAACGGGCACCAGTGAGGGGGATCATCAATAGTTATTCTTCAGGAATGAGAACTCAACAACACCATCATGATCACCATGACCATCCGCATCATCGTCATTCTGATCATGGTCATCATCCTCCGCCTCATCGTCCCGATGGTCATCATCGGATTCATCGCTGTCATCGTCATGACCGTCATCGTTGTCGTCAGCGTCGCGCTCTTCTCCACAGCAGAAACAGAATGGGGAAGAGAGAGAGAGAGAGAAACAAAAAAACAAAAAAAAAACGGAGATTCAGACAGAGAGGCAGGCAGACATACAGACAAACAGTCAGACCGAGATTCAGACAGGCAGACAGTTCGGCGGACAGACAGGCAGGCAGAGACACAGGACCACCGACGTCGTGGTGTTTCCCACTCGTGGACCCCCAGAAGTATCGACCGCTTCTCTTCAAGACTGGCTTCTCATTGCATCGCATCGCCGGCGGCACAAGAGCTGTCTAAGAATCGCAAGTCGTTTTCGACGGCTCTGGGTCCAGCCAGGACCCCAGAGGACCGAAAAGAGGCAGTTCTCCTCCAGACTCCGACAAGTTTGCTCAGATGGCGACATCCTAACCCTACCCCCCAGCAACCACCGACTCGCCTGAATCGATGGGAGGCGGCAGTAGGCTCTGGAATTCGCCACTCGACGGACTCCAAGCAATATCCCCGACGCCCATCGAGTTGCCTGAATCGTTGATCGGCAAGGGCAGGGTTCGAATTTCGCCGCCGCTGACTTTCATGAAAGGGGGAGAAGGGGGTGGAGAGCGCAATGAAGCCCAGACCTGGACTTCACGCAAGCCTGGACTCACTCGCACGCCGGTGAGGCCGAGCGGTGCTTGAAAAGGCGGCAAAGGGAAGGGAGGAGGATATACCATGCAGATGGACATGCATGGGTCTGGAGCAAGCAATCATCCAACGGCCAAACATCTCCCGCGCGATTTTTCAACACGCGAGCATTTCCGTCAAGGGACAACGAGTTGCATAAATGAAGGGCCCCCAGGACACACAAATAAATACACACAAATCAAAATATTCCCCATATTTCCCCATATTTTCTGGGTTTCTGTCTTCCCCCCCACTTCCCATATTTTCCCATATTTTCCTGGGAGTGGACGATTAATTGTGTCTGTGTGTTTCTTTTCCTCCTGAATAAAGATAACTTCTCTGAGGTCCGCGAGGATTTCGTGGAGCGGCGCTGGACTCCCGAAGCGCGCCGGGGGCGGCGCCAGGAGCGCCGCGGGGGGGGGAGGCCACACGCCGACCCAAGAGATCCGCGCGGGCCAGTTCTTGCTGACTCGAGTCTGCAAATATGAACGCCCCAGGACACAAATGCATGCACACAAATAAAACGATCATCACCCGGGTGACTCCAACCTAAGACCCATGGAGGCCCAACCGGAAAGAAAAAAAAATGGGGCGCGCCGAAGAACCCAGGGGGTCCAGTTTCCGCGGAGGAAAGAAAAAACCCTGGCGATGGGGTTCGAGCACGGGGGTTACCCCCCCCTCAAATTCCGGAAGAGGAATGAACTCCCAGCCGCGGGGGTGCCCGCGCGAGGGGTCCCACCCCCCCAAGCGCAACCAGAGGAAGAAAAGCGTGAGAGCCGAGACTGTAAGTGCAATGCAACAACACCTTAATCGCGGTTGCACTAGGGATTTGTATTAGTACGGGAACAACTGAATTACAGAGGTTTGCACCAAGGAGTTGCATCAAGGACTTGTACGAGGGAGTTGTACTAGCAGTCGGAACTTGGATCAAAGAGTTGTTATAGTACCACTTAAACCGGGGAATTGTACGGGGGAGTTGCGCTCGGGAGTTGTACCATGGAGTTGTACTAGTACTGGGGATTTGCGATAAGGGGTTGTTCTAGGGGGCACAATTTTACCAGCTGTCATACGATACCAGCTGCACTCGAATATTTGCACGGCAGGACAACGTGCTCTCTAGGAACAACTGCGCGATAGGACATGATAGTACCAGTTGTACTCAAGTACGAGTTGTACGGGTGTCGGAAGGGTTCAGGGGTTCCAACGGCAACGCGCGCGGGGAAGAAGGAAAGAAATCCATGCGCCGCCAGGGGTCCCGGGTTTAACGGGTCGCCGCGAAGGTTGACCCCCCGCGGAAAGAAGAAAAGAAATCCGGCCGGGGGGTTGGGGGGTTGAGGGATGAGTCACGGGGGCGATAAACGATCCCCCATATTTTCCAGCATTTTGGGGGGCCTTCGTCTTCCCCCCCACTTCCCAGATTGTCCCATCTGTTCTGAGGGATCGACGATTCATTGTGTCTGTGTGTTTTCCCCCTCCTGAAAATACAGGCCTCCTAGATGGGGTCGGGGTAGATGGGGTCGGAGGATCGCGCCGCATCGCCGATACGTCGGCGATGCATCGGCGATGCATCGGTGATGCATCGGTGGTGCATCGGCGAGGCATCGGGGATGCACCGGCGACGCATCGTCGACGTCGGCGATGCATCGGCAACGTCGACGTGAAGCAGATCGGGCTCCACGTCGAGCCGCATCGCCGATGCGTAGCCTCATGCAGCGACGGTGCGGCGCGGCCCTCCGACGCCCTCGGCTCGGACCCCGCCTGGGAGGCCTGGGGGAGAGCGGCAGGGGGCCACGTGCGAACCCTACCCCTACCCCCCACGGTTTTTGAGCGGGAGGGTGGGGTTCACTTCGCTCGGGACCTCTCGAGCGAAGTGAACCCCCCCCCCCCTCCCCCTCAGAAATCGTGGGGGGTAGGGGTCAGGGTCCGCACGTGGCCCCCTGAGCGGGCCGCCCTCCTGCTGGTTCTTGCGGTCCTTGGTCGGCCTCGCGCCCTCCCCCTGCGCCAGCTTCGGGGTGTCCCATGAAGTCCCGTGATCACGAAGTCCCATGAAGACTCCGAAGCGTTCCCTGAATCCCCTGGTCGCATTGGTCTGGGGGAGAGCGGGCCGCCCTCCTGCTGGTTCTTGCGGTCCTTGGTCGGCCTCGCGCTCTCCCCCGGCGCCAGCTTCGGGGGGTCGAGCAGCGCCACGTTGCGCACGAAGGACGGCCTGCCCACAGGGCGGCTCCCTCCGCCGCCGACGCCGCCGCCGCCCTCGCGCCGCCGTCGTCGATGTCGACGACGACGACGACGACGACGACGACGACGACGACGACGACGACGACGACGACGACGACTGCTCTCAAGGGGGCTCCAAGCTGGCCCAAGGGAGGCTCCCAAGACGGCACCAGAGGGCCTCACAATAGGGGGAGCACGAGCCAGAATGTCGAGCCCTCCGCCCGAAGATGGCCCCTGAAACCGCCAGCAGGTCTGCTCGCCGTCGCTGTCGTTGCGTCGTTCTCGTCGTGGCCGCTGGATTCGCGGCCGTCGCCAGCGACGTCGGGATCGGGCCCGCCCGTGGAGGAAGCCAACAGGTACCGACACCGCAACTCCCCGGGCCTCTCCCGGGGTGCGTTCTGACCAGAAGTTCGGGGCGAATCCAGCCGCGGCGAGCTCATATCTCTTCAGCGGTGACCACCCTACCAGCACAAAAACAACGAGCATCCCCAGCCATACCCTGGGGTCTCGGCCACATTGCACAAAGTGCATCTCTCGAGGACCTCACCAGCTGCGCGTGCTGGCCATGCTCTCGCACGCGCTGGGCATGTTCGGTGGCAACTCGTGGGAGCCTCCCATACCATCTTGTCGGCTCTTGCGAATCGACGCGAATCGACGCTAAATCGACGCCAATCGACGCTCACCGACGCTAAATCGGCACTATCTTACTGACTCCCAGACGCTAATCGACGCGAGTCGACGCTGAAGACGGAATCAAACGGTATACCAGGCTCCCACGATTTGCTACCGAAGGGCATGCACACCGGTGGCGAGAGAGAGAAGCGGAGGGAGTGAGCAGGGACCGACCGTCCCGGCATTCCCATAGGTATACCACGAAATGTTCTGAGAACATAAAAAAGCTCGAAAAATCAAAACCATGTTCTTGCAACACAAGCCCGATGTATCAAAACAAGGCAGTCTCAGCCAGACATGTTCTTAGAACAAGGCGTGCCAACCTGAACATTCTTTGGTGGGCCTACAGGCAAGCCAGGACGCTTCGCCACTGCTTGAAGGGAGGAGGGCGGGAAGAAGGAGAGCGGTGGCGACGAGGGCTGTCCAGCACGAACAGCGCCATCGGTACCTCTTCCTCCCCCGAGGCTTCGCCGCCGTCGCCGGCGCCGTCGGCCGCCGGGCCCGCCTGGCGGCCGAGCGGACCCAGCCCGCGCCACCACCCCGCCCTTTGGATGCCCGAAACGGGTGCGGAAAGCATGGGCACGATGCCCAACAACACACGTTGTCCAAAAAAACGACGACGGCCGCTGTCGGGCAGGCGACTTTCTGCCTTCAGTGAGCAACGTCCGCCGCGGTGCGGACAGCCAGTCTTGTTCAAAATGAGCAGGAACCGCTGTTGGGCATCGTACCCATTCTCTCCGTACCCATTGCGATCGTCCCGATGGCCCCGAGAGGAGCCCGCTCGGCTGCCCGGCTCGTCAGGCCCGGGGCGGGACGTGCGCTCGGGCGCCGGGCCGGCTCTCGGGAACAAAAGAACTTGTCGTCGCTCGGACGTCTGGATAGCTGCGCCGCCCTTCCACTCAACGAAGGCGCTGTTTTGCCGCTTGCTCTTCCCGTTGAGCGCTCCCACTTGCCGAAAAGATCGTTCTCCCACTTCACAGATGCGCCTTGACGTGGTAGAACGGCCCAGCGTGGTAGAACGCCCCCTTGGCTAAAAGTCGCAGAACGGCTACCCGTGGCGACGGAACGATCGTAAGCGGCAGAAGGGTCCGGAGACAAGTGCTGGAACGGATCCTCTGAGTGGTGGAGCGGGGTATCTTTCCACGCCCACTCCCCGCGCAGTGACTCTGGGCGTAGAGCGATCCACGATGCTCCGAGATGGTCCAGAGCCTCTGACGCTGGCCTCGCCGCAAACATTTGCACACGTCCGGGCGCTGCCACGAGAGGAGGGGAGCAGCAGGAATAGGAACAGGAACAGGAGGACGGGGGGATGCCGATATTGAAACGGATGAGCCAGCTTAAGGAGGAGGAGGAGGAGGAGGAGCAGGAGGAGGAGGAGGAGGAGGAGGAGGAGAGAGACTGGGAGGCCCCCCCCTCGGCTTGCGCTGGCCCGCGGCCTCCGTCGGCCCTGGAGGGTCGAGGAGGGAGAGTTGGGAAGCGGCTCACGGAGGCTGCCGGTCGTCCCCGCGACGCCCAGGCAGCGCGTCCAGCTCAGCGCGCAGGGCGGACGCAGCGCATCTCGCTCGCGCGGCACGATCGGACGCTGTTAGACGCTGCTTGGGCGCCCACCTTCGCTATCGAGTGCGGTGCGCGAGCTGGTGGGCGCCTCGGGGCGCGCAACATTGCATACAAGACGAGCGGAACCTGCCGTGACGTACGATCTGAAGGAAGGGGCGCTTCGCTGCGTGCTCTCGGTCAGCACGTCTGCTCGGGAACAGAAAGACCACACTCAGAATGAATACCCCGACAAGCGAAGCCGTTTCGTAAACGCATCCAAGGTCAGGAATCGAACAGGACAGGGCTGATTAGTAAACGCCCAGAGCCGTCTAGCAAACTCCGACTCTGGGGATCGGGGTGGTGTTCCCTTCCCTGATTCTCGGACGTCTCAGGGGCCCTCCAGGGCCACCCAAAGGGGGCACCGTGGTCGGGACCTCAAGGCACCCCAAAGACATCTTCTCCGATATGATGCTCCCCACACGGCCCCAGAACTCCCGACCCCTTCCCCGGGGATAGCCTTGCGTCCTGAAGCCGTATTTGACATCGCCGCCGCCATCGTCGTCTGTCGTGCCGACTTTTTCGGCCTCGGGGTCCAAAACCGCTGAGGGCCAGTAAGGGGACAAAAAAAAATGAAACCCCTTCGTTTTCGACCACGTGTTCGCGCCCCCCCCTTCCCCCCAGACTCAAAGATGGCGTCCGGCCTGCAGAAGGCCCTGGGGGTCTATTTGTTGTCTTTCGAGCCTGTGCTCCCGAATGCCCAGGGTCGACTTTGAGTATACAGTCGGCCTTGATTGGACAGGACACGCGAGAGGACACAAGACCCTACCGAGGGCCACATCGCCATAGGAGTGCAAGAAGGCACGTGTCGCGAGGCACAGGACACAAGGGTACCCTTGAGCTGGCAGGATCGACCTGCTAATCCGGGTCGACTTTGAGTATAGGGGGGGGACGTGGGGAGCGGAGCCAAGGGCTCCACTCCTTTGCCCGTCTGCGGGCCCTCTGGGTGGGCGGCGGGACGACTGGCCTGGCTCCTGCCGGTCCTGTGCCGCGGCGCCGCCAGCCAGTTCCTGCCCCTCGTGTTGGGTCGGGCGTGTCCTCCTACAGGCGGATGCTGGGAGAGAAAAAAAAAAAAAGAAGAGAGTCGACAAGACAGTCCAAGAGAGTCAAGAGAGAGCACGGAACCTCGTCGCCAGACTAGTTCGCTTACCGCTCCTGCTTCTTGGGCATTCCCCCTGCAGGGGGGGCATGCCCGACTTAACCCTCGTGGGGACGCGGTGCAGATCGCCGCGGTGGGGCCGTCTTGCCGCCCCGCTGCCTGCCTTTGTGGGCTCGCTCGCCGCCGCGCCGTGAGCGGTGGCGCCACCGCGGGCGCGCCGTCGCGCGTGGTGCCGCGGGGCCGGCGGAGCCTCGGCCACTGGCGGCGCAGCCCCTGGCCCCAAAAAAGATCGTCCCCATCATCATCATCAGCGTCAGCATCAGCATCAGCATCAGCATCATCATCATCATCATCATCATCATCATCATCATCATCAGCATCAGCATCATCATCATCCTCATCCTCATCAGTATCATCATCAGCATCAGCATCATCATCAGCATCATCATCAGCATCATCATCATCATCATCATCATCATCATCAGCATCATCATCATCAGCATCATCATCATTAGCAGCAGCATTAGCAAAATCATCATCATCATCATCATCATCATCAGCAGCAGCATCATCATCATCATCATCATCATCATCATCATCATCATCATCATCATCATCATCATCATCATCAGCATCATCATCATCGTCATCATCATCATCATCAATCATCGTCATCCTCATCATCGTCGTCATCATCGTCATCATCATCAGCATCACCATCATCGTCATCACCATCATCATCATCAACAGCATCGCAATCAGCACCATCATCATCAACAACACCATCATCAAACATCATCATCAGCGTCATCAGCATCATCATTATCACCATCAGCATCATCATCAGCATCATCGCGATCAGAACCATCATCGTCGCCATCATCATCGTCATCATCATCATTATCATCACCATCAGCATCTTCATCACCAATACCACCGCCAATCATCATCATCAGCATCGTCGTCAGCATCAGCATCATCATTGTCATCATCATCATCATCATCATCATCATCATCATCATCATCATCATCACCATCATCACAATCATCAGCATCACGATCACCACCATCACCATCATCAGCATCATCATCGTCATCAGCATCATCATATAATCGTCGTCATCATTATCATAATCAGCATCTGCATCATCATCATCATCATCATCATCATCATCATCATCATCATCATCATCATCATCATCACCATCCGCATCCTCATACTCATCCTCATCCTCGTCATCATCACCATCATCAGCATCAGCATCAGCATCAGCATCACCATCGTCATCGTCATCCTCATCATCATCAGCATCATCATCAGTATCATTATCATCATGCGTCCTGGATCCAATTTTGACGGTCCTAGGGCGCACCGCTGATTTCCAGAGGAGCATCAAGCTGCTTCTCGGGACCCGAACCACCTGACTTTCCGCCTGGCAAGGCAACAAAAATCGGGCACACTGCGCTCGCGCTCGTGCCGAGTGGCCAAGACAGCGCTGCCCGGCCTGCTTGAAACGGTGTGCTGTGCACCAGCCTTTCCACCGCGCCCTCCAGACAGAAGCCGCAAATCGCGGAGGTGTCAACCGACTCGGCATCTGAAGGACGGCTGGCGCTCAGCGCGCGAGCTGGCCAGAAGGGCTGGGAGGCGTACACCCGGATGGCCATCCTTCGCGGACGCGAGGTCCGACCAACTCGAATCGCCCCGTGAAGGCCAAGTTTGGTCGTCCGACGCGTGAGTTCAGGAAGAGCCTGTTCGTCTGACCGCCGACACGACCACGCGCGCGTCGCCGCCGCCGCCGCCGTCGTTGCCGCCGCCGCCGCCATCGTGGTCAGTCGTCGTCGTCGTCGTCGTCGTCGTCGTCGTCGTCGTCGTCGTCGTCGTCGTCGTCGTCGTCGTCGGTGGCGGTGCAGGCGGCGGCGGCGTGGTGCCAAGCGGACTTATCAGAGGATCGCTCGATCAATCAGCAAGCAGGCCCACCTCGCAGCCGGCGCTTGACTCGTGGAGGGAGATGGCCTTGCAGCACGGTACTGACAGCCTGGAGCTCCAGCCCGCGCGTCTTCGGCAACGCTCCAGGCTACCCTAGGAAAGGCAAAGGCGCCGTCAGGACGTACAGCCGAAAAG